CCAAGTTAGTCAGGCACGACTAACTTATTACAAAACAGCCAAGGTGGCTAGCTCAGACGTGGCCACCTACATCCCAAGAGGGCTAACAGCAGGTAAGAGGAATCCCACCTTTCATTTTGATACCGTGACTAACACATATTTTGTGTTATGCCGTAATTTATACTGAGTCCAGTGTGCAAATCCAGAAAAAAACTAAGACCAGTATGGCTTGGTTTTCTGCAAGTGCTGACCTTGCAACATTTCCCTTTGAAGCTAGTGGGAGCATCCTGAACCTTGTGTGCTGGAAAGTCACACTGTTATTTCACAGCACTTACTTAAGGCCCTGAAGCACCAAAAATGCTTACGCCCATCCCTTGTGCTTCTCAATTCACAATCTGTAACCCATTACGTAATGATGGACATAAGAAAAACATCTGCCAAACCAAAAATTTCACTGATAAAGCATGACAAATTCTGTTCTAGTAGGGATCTTCGCTAGTCCCAGAAGAATTAAGTAAGAAACAAAATCATCTCTGTCAGGCTTGTAGTTTCTGAGCTACAAATTGATGTAACAGGGCAGACACCAGCCAAGTCATCTTGTTTGGTGTGGGCTGTATTTGGCTTCAGCTCTACACCACTGTACCTACCCTGCTATAGTCTGCGGTCATGCTGCGTGTGCTCAGTGCCGGAGACCTCGGGAGAGAAGATGTGGAAACACTGCTTCTGTTCACGGGACCCACGGCCCCTTTCAGATGGCTCGCGGTGGCCTCTGCATCGCTGCTGTGCAGTGAAAGGGTGCTCCCTCTGGGGTGGAGAGAAGAGCATTAAGGTGTTATTGCTTTGAGCAAACCAAGACAACTCGTTTAGCAAAACATTGGAAGAGAACAACCATAGTAACAATTCACTAGAATAACATCATCCTGGATGGACTGTGAGATCCACTGCAAAGAAACGGTTACCTGGAAAGAAAAACACAGACAATGGTGAATTACAATTGCTTCACACATATGCCTGTTTTCAGCACTTCTAACAGCAACATGAATAGCCCAAATGGACGGCTCTTGTCCAGGCTGTAGAAGCTCCATTCGACTGTGTTCACTTTGAATGGCATTTGCATCTGACAGCTTATGTAACACTTCCTACCGGGCTGCTCCTCAGTTTAAAGGAAAACTATGGTGACATGACAGTTCTGTCTGCTTCTGCAGCTGATGTAACTGCCAGGACTATCTCCACAACATCTGAAATCCTTGGCTATCTGCTCTGCATCCTCTCCAGACAAACAACAACTGGCTCGCCATCCTATTTATATTGCAATAACTCTTGACCCAAACTGGTCAGTTTTTTCAACCAGCTTGGAAAGGTAGGAAAGCTGGAGAAGTCTTGTCCAAGTTTTATGTTAATAAAAGGGACAAAAAAGCATCTGTGATCAGCATACCAGAACCTAACTGTTGTCTGAGATCAGGCAGAAATTTTACCACGGGACATTTTCTATTAGAAAATACTGATTAGACCATGTGAACACCGAGGGTCAGAAAGGGTAAGATGTTGCCCTTAACCTCTTGAAAAAATGAAAATTATTTTTAAATGTATTTCAACATATTTCCAATTCAAGTTTTATTTTAATTTGAAATCTGCTTTGCAGTAAAAATGCAAGTTCTTGGCTGATCTACACTTCTTTCTCCACAAACATCAGTTCAAACTTTTTGTTTTTCTTCACAATTTAGAGAAATTTCAAAGTGTCTTGCAGGACAATAACAGTTCTGCATACATTCTTGACTTGCTTCTTCAAAAAAAAAAAAAAAAACCACCAAAACCCACAACCAACAATCTGGTAAATAGTAATTGATGCACGAATTGCAGCATTTTCCATAGGAAAAATACAGTGTCAGAGGACAATTGTAATGCAGATTTTCTGGAGAAAATTTTTGGACCTTACCATACATTTTCAGCCAAAATAAGCTTGCTTGATAAATATTTCAGATCTGCAGGCATCTTCATTGTGCTGGAGAACACTTGAATTTCACCTTCATTTGTTTCAGGCTCTCATATCATGTTTAGAGTAAAAATCTTCACCACCACAATGGAAATTTTTATTAAAACAACTGCTGAACTGAGAAAAAATACTCTGGAACACAAGAGCTTCTGTCTCACTGTTATATTAAGCAGTGAGCACAAGCTCTGAATCCACATTGGTGGAGTTATTGAAAACAAGGAATACAGAGCAAAACCCCAAACACCAAGACGGCCTACAGATGTCGTGCAACCATGTTTTGGTTTCTTAGTGAGCATATGGTAACATTTTTAACAATTACTATCCATTTTTTTGCCTATTAGCAACCTTAGATAATGCATAATAAACACGCTTTTATGCATGTGCACTTCATATGCATGCCCTGCTACTTTTTAATTTGATGAGCTAGAGATCGACAAATCCTACTAAATGTGATCTGGCTGAATTTTAGTCCTCTCTGCCTACACAAAGATGTGTCTTCGGTGATGCACATTTAGAAAGACAAAGGTTACTGGCTGTCATCCATATTTTATCAAAGCTGTTGGACTGAGATGCACAGACCTTTGTTTCCAAACCTGCCAGTGAATGGCAAACAGCCAAAGTTTTTAAAATCGCAGTTTTATTGAATGTCACAACACTTCTGATGGATTGAATGTGACTTTGCTACAAATATTGTTGTTACATATTTTTTTTCCTCACTATGTAAACTAATGTAAATTAAGAGAAGTGTTCAGAAGTAATAGTGGGATGGGATAAAAGATTTGAAAACATGTTACAAAGGGTTCTGCAGGAGTCATCAGTCAGCCTGAGCACTTGCACATCAAACCTCCTAAACAGACCCCTCCCATACTTTGCCCTTATTTCAGTCTACTATTACAGGGGTGTTTCATCATGTTTTATACACATATTAAGTAGACAACAAAAGAAAAATGTTGTCATAACTTGACTATGTCAAGCATTTCCCTGTGGTAGATGTCAGTGCAATGGAGTAGTGTGCCTGCATAGATAAGCCTGAAATTCCTATATGATTTCTCCTAGAGGTATCCTGATGCAGTCTCCCAGTTCATTCATGCTGCAAAATCAGTAAACCTTTTTGCTGGAGCAGAAATAAACCTTCTGAAGAAATGAACTCATGGTCTGGGACTCCCTGTTCCCAGCTCAGTACATCTTATCTTAAACCAAGATGTTTAGAAAGAATAAAAATTCTCCCTCAGTTACCCCGCTGGTAGGTGAAATACTACCAGTGTTGGCAATGCAGCTAAAAAGATGAGGGCAATTACAAAAATCAGAAACATGCAGGAAAATCTAGGACAGCTACAGTGTCACAAGATGTTGTTATGTTCTTTTAATTTGAAATCCAAAACAGTTATGGAGTGTAGCCTGGGAAACTTTGCTCTTATTTTAATAATTACTACTCAGTTCTATAAATTAACAATAGATGAACTAAAGCAAGCATCCTCAAATATCTAATTAAAGTATTTAACCCTCTATGGACAAGACAGAAAACTTCATTCCTCTGCTGAGAAATATGAGCTGCTCCTCAATCCTTCCACAAATTAATATTTACGAAGTACCACATCTTCCACAGACAGTAAAATAATTTAGCCCCTCTACCAAAAGCATCTCCTGGCAACACAGCTGGGTTACCATGTACTTTGACAAAGGACACCGATTTGGTCCGGTGAGGGTAGATGACGGGGAGAGGAAGAAGTTGCCATAATGACTCAATACCTGCTAATTTAATAAATCCCACACTCTGGCTCTGGGAAAAGCTAGAAATCGATGCCTTATGTGAAATTCAAGCAAGGCAATCACACATAAAGGCAATTTTTATGGAGTACTTCACTTATCCTTCTAAGCCTGCAGACAGACCTTATCAGATGTTGAATTCTACTACCCCAAATAGAATTATTTTGCTTCATTTATGGTTAAATGTATAACTTTCTTGCAGTCTGGCACATCAAAACTGCTGCACATATCTCTCACAAGCATCCTTTTGTCCTTGTTTTGGTAACCTTTTCAAGAAGGTTACTTAAAATTGCATAACCTTAGCATTAAGCAGCACAGACACCAGATTCCTGACTTCTTGTCTCTCAGATCCTTCACTCATCTGTATTCAGTGAAAAGCAAAAGTAGTCCAGAAAAACAGCAAAAATACTACTTCTAGTCTCATAAAAGGCAGGTTAGGATCTGATTAGATACAGAAGACCTAATTATCTTAGTGAAAAGAAAATTAGTGAACTGTGTGCAGATTAAAGAAGAAAACTACATTTAAAGCTGATTTGGCTAGTAAGTGAAACAGCATCCATTGAAAAAAACCCAATGAACTTTCAAGACGACTGTCACCATCAGCTTTAGGCACATTGCCGAACATCCAGCAACTGGGTGTTTGAATTGTAGCTAACAAAGGGAAGCAGGTTCCTGCTTAAACAAGAAGGCTCATCAAAGGGTGAATTAAACTTTGTGATGTTCCTTTTACCTGATATCCTGTGTTCCTGTATACCTATTTGTAGTCTTCCCAGGAACACTCTTCTAAAGCTAGAAATTTCTGTTGGATCTTACAGCTAATTATTATTATTATTTTCAATCCAGATTGTAAAATTTCTAGGTATATGCAAAGAATGTGGGTCTACATCCACAGTATAGATTATCCAACCAAACAAGAAAAAAGTGAACTATTTTTTGGCCTTAATTTAGTGGTGGGACATGAGAGAAATGTTGCACTTAGCATTTTATAATGTTATCAACAGACACAATAACAGAGATCTCTTATGCCCTGAGGAATGATAAATGGAATCTTATTAGAAATAACTGGGCCAGTAATAATGGGAAAAGAAGGGCAAACTTTGAAGACGAAAATATAAATTATAATTGATTAACATGTCATTACTGAAGAAAAACTTCAGAACAAAGAGCTTCAGTTCTGTAACATGAGCACAGCTCATCAAATAAAAGCCATAAAACCAAAACCAAGATACTGACAGAAATCACCAGCCAAACACAAGGAGAAAAGAAAGATAGTTAGTGATAATTTTTAGTTGTTGTTGTTTGTTTTGTTTTGTTAGGGGTTTTTGGTTGGTTGGTTTGTTTTAAAACATTAGCTGTGCTTCTCAGATAGTATTGATGCTGAGGATTCAATGACACAATGCAACAGAGAGGGCTGGCACACGCCCCCAGGTCAATCCCGGCATAAACTATACCAGATTTCTGCTGCTCACCTCTCAGAGCAAGGCGTTGACTTGCCACTGCGCAGACTTTGCGTTTCAGCTTCTGAGCCTGTGTTCCTTTCACCTTCACCTTTTGCAATTGTAATTTCTCCTTTGGTAACTGCCCTAATTACCTTCCTGC